GCCTTGCCCCCGCCCCCGCCGCTTCCGCCGACGGCGGAAGAACTGCAGAGGGAGAATGTTTTGATGGTGGGAGGACTAAATCGAGAGCTGGGATTTTGGGATTCTTCGATTGAGACAATGACGGATTGAGGTGCGGCGGCGATATGGTGGTCGGTGATGGAGAAGACGGTGAAATTGGCGAGGAGGAGCATGAGGTAGACCATGAGGGTAGGAGTAGTGGAAAAGATGCGGTGAAAGAGCCAGACAAAAGAGGAGTGGAGATCGTCATGGACCCTTGCGAGGGTTTCCTGAATCTGGAAGTTATCGGGTGAAAACAGGGCTTCTCGCATGCAAATCAGGTGGCTATGGAGCTCGCGAACTATAAGCACCGTAGAAGAGAAGGCTTTCTTCACGGAGCAGCTTGCGGATTCCTTCATCTGAGCCGATTGACGAAGCTCATCCTTCTTCCGCTTCAGGATTCGCAGCGACAGAGGGAGATCGAAACTTTTTGCCATCCACTCCGTCTTTTGCAACACTAATCCATCACTGCCAGGCCATGATTCTGGCGGCATCGACTCTATTTTAGTGGGTGCGGATTCGCCGCCACAAGTACTGGTTTCTGCTTCTTGATTTAGCTGAGATTCGACATTGATTTTAAATTTGAGGTTTAATTCGTTAATCCTACTCTCAAATTCCTCTTCGTTTTCATCGAGGCTGGCGCTGGAGGAAGTCCTTCTTCCACCTCTGGATATTTCTCTTTGATGGGAGTGATGAATAAGGGTGGTTCCCAGGAAAGGTGTGCAATGAACGGTATTATGGGTTTTGGCGAGATCGTGGGAGTTTGTTGAGTTGTGAAGGAGAAAGGAAATGGCGTGTGCTACAGTTTTTGCTGATAAAGGACCGCGGTACGGCAGCGGCGAAGACCAATTCAAGCAGGTTCCGGCGACTTCCATGGCCATTGCCGGCGGTGGCGAAAGATAAGAGAGGAATGAGAGGTACGGCGACACGCCAATGTTCACTGGTGGTCGCGTCTTTATAGTGGGTTGCTTACTTGCGTCTAAACTTTTATTTTTACACATATAAGGTATTTTGGATAGTTTGTGCATTTCAGGATAAGTCGGCCCACATATCGACCGTGGGAGTTGGTCGACCCGTAGCAACAAACACCATTTTCAAAAACATGTAAACCAAACGGTTAGGTTGCGTTTTCTAAAACGCTGTCACACTTATAAATTGCCCCTTAATGTGAAAGATAAATTTGACCATTAAAAATTAATAATGAGTACTAATTTTAATATGATAATTCTAATTATAAATATTTATGTGTGAAATAGAAAAATGTGAAATTTTTAAATGTTATGCATGTAAAAACCCCTTATTCTTTTTTGTCCAATCACACTAAGGTTAATAAAATTTTTATTTACAAATCAAGCAACATTTTCAACCATCTTTCAAATTCTCGCTCAAATATCAAAATTGATGGTAAAACCCCAATTCATATTGTTCATTTTTATTAAATTTTCAGTGATTTAATTGTGGCACCCGTAAATACATCAATTTGGCAGCTCACAAAAATCACTTGAATTGTTAATTTGTAAATATCAATGTTCGAGGCGGTCTACATATAATTACCTTTTTTTTTTTAGGAGAAGATTGACAATTCACTCAATTTCTATGCATTTATACATCTCATTCTCAAAATTTAATTTCTAAATACATGCCATCTTTCCTATGCGTGTATTTCATTTTTTAATAATTAAAATTTAAAAGAGTGATATTTTTTTATTAGACATGAAAGATTTGGGTTGTGTAAGTGTAAATACATTTTAGGTGTTAGACATGTAAATACATAAAATTTAGGTGGTATATACGTAAATGCTGCCTTATTTAACCGCTGTAAATTTCTATTTTTTAAATAAAGTTCCACACATTAGAGCACATAATACTTAATTTAATTAAATTTTCTTTTTTTTTTTTAATGAGCACTCTTGACGCCTAAAACTTTATATTTATATTTATATTAAGTTAAATATATAAATATATATTATATTTATATTAAAATAAATTTATGATTTTTAAGCTGATCGTAATTAATTGTTTAATAACGATTTTCAAAATTATTTTATTTTTAAAGCAAATTTTAGATCGTGAATGTATGGTCTTATTTTTAGAAATCAAAGCAATGGAGCCCTTTAACGTTAAATGTATTTACATATCTATCATCTACAATTTGATATTTAATTTATAAGGATTTCGCATTAAAATGAAAATATATATTTTACTTTTGTAAAATTTGATGACAATGGTATGGATCAAGTTATATATTTTAAGTAGGGCTGTCAAAAAAAGCTCTTTGTTCACCAACAACTCGTATTCGGCTCGTTAAGTAGCTCGTGTTCGACTCGTTCGAAACGAGTCGAATCCAAGGGAGCCGAACAAGAACAACCTTTTCTTCGATCGTGTTCGACTCGTTTTAGCTTGAAATAAATTTTATATATATATATATATAATTTTAAATCATAACATCTCGTGTGATAATATGATTAGTGTTTTTTTTCCCATATATTTGGTCAATGTTCGAATCCCACACTTTACATCTATTTTTTTCAATTTAATTTTTCTGAGCCAATTTCGAGCCGAACAAAAACACGAATATTTAAATCGAGCGGAACACGAACACACTGTTCACGAGCCAATTTCGAACACCAGCCGATTTCGAACACGAGCTATTTCGAATGAGCCGAATACGAGCCATTCTCGGCTCGTTTACAGCCCTAGATTTAAGGGATATATGTAAATATATAAGAATTAAGTGGCATGCATGTAATTGATGCTGCCCTCCAGCAATGTGCGGCAATAGAGACTGACACGTACCATCCCAGCTAATAACATTAAATTTAATAATTTTTTATCTCTAATATTAAATTTATTTAATTTCCTTTCTCCTCAATATCTTATAATATAATAATTTAAGCAAACTGTATAGCCTTTGTACGTTTTCGTGTTCATATCCATCAAAGAATGCAAGAATTGATGTTCTAGAAAATTTGTAGTGGTTGATTGATATTTTATCGTCTTAGCATTGAACGAGACTTTAACATACATCAAGGTAAAAGAAAACAATCAATAATGATACCAAAAGTTTTTACATGAAAAACATGTAAAGAGAAAAGTCACGGGACTTGACCCAGTTATAAATATTCACTATAGGTTAATTATTACAAAGACCTCTTATCCCACAGACAGAAAATAATTACTGGACCACATGATTTGAAATAGCTGAAAAAAAAAACAACTTGCAACAGTAAGCCAAACTTAATGAGATAATTAAAATACTTGAGAGCACAAACCATTTCAAATGAGATTGCTAAGCATTTTTCTTTTAGACATGGAATACTTAAAGCAACATTGACACACATAATTTACATTCTTGATGAATAAAAGGTTTAGTACATGCATTATTAAAGAAATTCGACTACAACGAATTAACTGTTTGATATTTCAGCTGTAAATTTCAGCAAACTATAGAAATCACAAACAATTTACAGCATGCAATAGAAAACAGAATCAATAAACTTTAAAAAAAAAAATTCCACGAATGTATAGCTTGTACCAATGAAAAAAAAATCTCAAACCAGCAAGCTGTGAAGTTCATAACTAATGGACAACCAGAAAAATTCCCTCGAGTTTGCATATCTCACTGCTAAACTGTCTCTCTTGAATATATGTTAATCTAACTATGCATGAAAACATCTATTGCCCACTTTTTTATCACAAACCATCGTTATTAGGGAACCAGAAATTTTGTCACAGTAAAATAAACAAGCAAAACTTGGGCATAATCCATGCTTACCAAAACAACCCCTTTTCTTATGCACAACCAATTCATATGAACATCATCGAATTCAAAATAACATAACACCACATGAAACGAAAGAGGAGAAAGAAGAGGAATTAGCTTGTTCAAGATTTCGCTCCCTATGTTTGCTTAATTTATCGTCGAGGAGAACAAGAAGAGAAACCAACAGCTTACCGTGGCGAGGGGATTGTGATGCCAAATAAACTGGAGATAGCTTGCAACATTTGAAGAAGAAAAGGGGAATTCAACCGAGCAAAGGCATTTGGCAGGAAGTCATGGGGAGGCGAAGACAACAGGAAAGAGGGGCTTAGTCAACCAAATGCTTCAGGGGGACAAGCTCGCAAAGGGTCAACTTACCAAAGTGGGAAACGAAGGATCACAAAAACCAATCGCTCTGCGAGATAAAGCAGGAACAAGCTTCTGGAAGGAGAACTTTGTGTTATGAACTATATCAGACCAGTTGATGTGGTATATATATATATATATATCAAACAGAAGAACGATCGACGAAACAAAAAATAGCACGAGAGAATTCACACCAGAAAAGAACAACACAACGAAACACACAGCTTTATGTGGTTCGACAAATTGCCTACGTTCATGGGGTTGCAGAGGATTTTACTACTTGAGGAATTTACACCAGTCGATCACCTCGACTTACAAAAGTAATCTCTCACTCTTCGTTGCTCTCTCTCTCCTTCTCTCTCTATTCATTTCTCTCTACACCGAGATACACTGAAGAAGACAAACTTACAAGAGAAATAAACTCAATTTCTCTTCTGCCACAAGCCACTAAGAAGAAACTTTGAGATAACTCTCCACATAGTTTTGCACCTCCAAGTTATTTCCTGGGTCAATATTGTCTCTTCTTACAACTCCCACTGCATTGGCAATATCTTGTCTCTGTTGAAAGCCTTTTCCAACAAGTACAGACTTATACTTCTTCCTGACATCACGATTAGTCTTCACTTGGTACACCCACTTGTTGTGTAATGTCTTCTTCCCTGATGAAAGTTCTGTCAGCTTCCACTTGCTCGAACTTTCATCTTGTAAGATTTCTTCATAGCTCTGTGGTTCTTCAACATCTATCTGTGGAACAATAGGAATGGATGCCCCGAACCCACATTCCTCTTCACTTCCATCACTGCTCTGCGCTGTGGCATATGGTAGATTTCCTACCACATTCAAAACCCCTAAATCCAATATCAAGTCTTGAACAAAATTATGAATTGCCAATAATAGTGCATCATCTGATTCTTCATATACCACATTTGCTCTACATCTTCTTAGGATTCCTGCAGTTTTTCTTTATGTGGTCAGCCTTGCCACAGTTCTAACAGGTTGTCTGCTTATTAAACTTTGATTTTGATCTCCATATACTTGAGTTTCTGTCATGTTATCTCCCTCTGAAATCAACATTCAGTGTCGAACTCGAACCTGAGATCTTGCCAGAATATTTCCTGCGAACTTCCTCAGCCAAAATCAAATCACGAATATCATCGTATTTTGAGTTTATATTTACCTGAAAAACAGCTAATTGTTATCCTCATGATTTCTCAACTATCTGACAATGAAGCCAACAAGATCAGTGCACATATCTCATCATCAAAATCAATTTCCACGGACGACAATTGATTTGTGATAGTATTGAAAACATTCAGTTGTTGAGCAACAGAAACTCATTCTGCCATCTTCAAATTGAATAACTTCTTCATCAAGTGCACCTTATTATTCGCCGATGGCTTTTCATACATACATGATAAGGCTCCCATGAGATCTGCAGTCATCCTTTCCTTGACGATGATGTGTGCAACATACCTCGATAGGATCAATCGAATAACCCCAAGAACTTGTCGATCCAACAAATTCTATTCAGTTTCATCCATTCTTTCAGGTCTTTTCCCCAATAAAGAAAGATGAAGTTTCTTCCCATAAAGATAATCCTCTATCTTCATTCTTCAGTAACCAATATATGTGTCATCAAACTTCTCGATCCCTAAAATCTTCACTTCATCTGCAGTCGTCATTCTTCCTCAGATCCGAACAAATCTCTAACACCAGTTGTTGTGAGATATATACCAGACGAGTTAATGTGATTTATATATATAAATCAAAATGGAGAATGATCGACGAAGCGAAAAATAACACGAGAAAATTCACACAAGAAAAGAACATCACAGCGGAACACATAGATTTATGGGGTTCGACAAATTGTCTACGTCCACGGAGTTGCAGAGGATTTTACTACTTGAGGAATTTACATCAGT